GGCTGATGACCGAAGTCAAACAAATTACCTATGACGAGTAATAATAATAAAACTACTTGGGCTATTAGATTTTTTGGGGTGGCATTTGTATCCTGCGGCATAATTACAAATGCAGAAAGGGTGGAAAGAGGAGATCGGCTAAGAAAATTTCACCCTGTGGAAATCACCCATCATCATCATCATCATCATCATAAGGTCGTTAGTCCTAAGACTGGTTGGACACGCACCTCCACCCTTTGCTATTCTGAGCTAATCTTCGCATTTCCCTAAAAGTAGAACAACCTACATCCTTAACTATTTACGAATAGTAAGCTAATCTAGTTCTACCTCTACCCTTTCTAACTCCTGTTTCTACCTCTAATATGTCTCTGACTAGATCTTCATGCCTGAAAAGGTGTCATACCAACCTATCCCGCCTATTTTTATTGACATCTATAGAGTCCTCTGTTCTTCTATTCTGTCTAATACCTCTTCATTTCTAACCTTTTCTACCCACGTTATCCTCATCGTTCGCCTATAACACCATATTTCGAAAGCTTCTAACCTTTTCTTTTCCCCACTTTTGAAAAATAAAAAACTAATTTTTTGAAAGAAAGAAAAGAAATTGAAGGCATAAAGGGAAGATACATAAGATGGATTTTAAAATTATATAGAAATACAACAAAAACCGAAATTGAAAATTAAAGATGACTTGCTACAACATATGGAAAATCCGATCGAATCAGACATGACAAATGAACCCTAAAAATTTTTTATATCGTAATAATACAATATATTAATATTGATTTCTTTATAAGCCATAAATGAACTTAAACTTGCTGTATTCTTTCTTAGTAAATGATTTTCATAATGTCGTAACATACACAGATAAATGCTTGATCTCTCCGCCATAAATAATTGACTTTACGTATATTTTGGTACAGGATCCTTGAATTTCATATAAACATTTTAAGAAAATTCAAAATTACAATTTGTTGTAATTAGTTATTCGCGCAGCTGTTGAGTGGATGACATGGAAATATAGTTTCCATGTTTATTATACTGTGTTTTAACAATTTTCAATGTTGAAACCAAGAAATTCTTTCCAAAGTTTGGCGCCGTCTTTCAGCCATTCTAGATGTTGGTACGTAAATTTCTTTAGCCGAAACTGACCTTATATTCATACAAATCTACCCCGAAAGTTTAGTTAAAAAATATTGCGGTCATCTAGATGACCAAAGGCCACACTTCCCTGATACATATATATGCTATAGAAAAACGACCTCTTCCAATTTTACACAAGATTGTTCGTGCCGATTTTCAAAATATTCTACCACACCTAGTATATTACAATAGGCCATCGATTGAGACCACTTAATCAAGCCACAATTATCATTTTTTTATTTCGTTTCCAATATCACCACTAAAATGGGCATTCAAACGATAAAAATTTCTATAGAGAAAAATAAGTAGGAGCTTTCCTATAAGGTACCCAACAATCACTTTATTGTAAAATAATATCCATATAATTTAAGTAGTGTTGCCCAAATTCAGTCTTGGTCTTGCAGTCTTGGTCTTGTTCTTGCGTTTTTGCAAGACCAAGACCAAGAACAAGACCGCGTATTTTTAGCAAGACCAAGACCAAGACTGACCGTGCAAGACTTGAGCAAGAACAAGACATAGCCTGCAAGACTCTTGCGTCTTGCAGCTAGGACTTAGCGCTATTTCACTGAGTAGTTAGGTGTAACAGTTCGGTGTATAGGTAGGTACGCTTAGGAATTCTATGAGACGCAAAAAACTGTATCAAAGAATATGAAAAACTGGACCTATGCGCATTACGACTAATACCATAAACATAGCGAATAAAAAAATTATTAAAATCAAACTGAGTGCATGCATAGTTATGTTTTAACCATCGGCACTTTGATAATGCGGCATCAAAGGTTTTGTACTTACTTCTCAAAGAAATTTGCCGCTTTTCGGAAGTACATGGTTATGATACACGCGCCGGCGGCTTCTTTTGAAATCTAAAACAATCGTTGCCGCCACGCCGAAATCATAACATTTGACACTATTTGATTGCCGCCATAGGGTGTAGGTATACTCATGCAAAATAATTTCGAATTTTTTTACACGCTTTATATTATTGTTTGATTTGCGGCGGCATCCTTATCATAGAGCCGGCACGTGGCGAGGCGGCGCGGTAGAAAGCAAGGATCATAAATGTTTATTAAGAAACAGTTACTTCCATGGAAAACGACATATAGGTCAGTTGATTTTTCGAATTTCTTATCAAATCTTCAGTTATTTATTAATCTGCTTGATCTTTACTATGGCTATATTCATTCAAGCTCACAATGTTCCAATTCTAATACGTTTTTCTAGGATTTAAAGTAAACTTTAATAAATAGTAATAGACTAATAGGTAATTGCAAGACTTGCAAGACTCTTGCTGCAAGACCAAGACCAAGACCAAGACTGGGAGCGCAAGACCAAGACCAAGACCAAGACCAAGACCAAGACCAGGTGTATTGGCGCAAGACCAAGACCAAGACTGGCTAAGTCTCGTCTTGTTCTTGCGTTTGGGCAACACTAAATTTAAGGCATATAGACATTAATAAATGGGAAATTCAATTCACAATTGAGGAAAGTAGGTACCATATAAGACGAAGTGCAATAAAAAGTTGAATACGTAATAATCGCTATTTCTAAATACTTATAAGCACAAACTTTTCTAATGTTAACCAATACAAGAAAATTATAATCGATATTAATATAGCAGACATTCGATAGTGTTGACTGAAAAAACAACAGTCACCAATTTGTATCTACTTGAAGAATAAAAAGTATTTTTGGGATGAATCTTTATTAAATTATACAATCTACCATTAACGTTTCGCCTTAAGGTGAAAAGGCATCTTCAATCAATTGTCTTTTAAGGGAACGTTGGTGGTAGATTATGCAAGATTATAATATTATAAAAAACCTTCAATCCAAAATCGCTTTTTATTCTTAAAAATGACTCTCATTAATAGGCAGCAATAATTGCCAAAGAAATCAGAAATTTTTGTTGGCCTTTATGGATTTTTAATTTTTCGGAATAATGGGTTTTTCTCTTCAAGCAATTTTTTTATAACCATCAGGTCAGTAATGTCGACGTCATATTTACATATTCAAAGTAGATGATACGCGAAAATGACTGGGAAAGCACCAAATACATCGCGGATTTTCAGCAGCGACCAACGAACATTCGTTTCTATAACCGAAGGTTTAGTTTGGTGACAGTATACGCGGTGATCTAATGTTTTTCGCAATTATGCGGAATTTCCGTTATACAATATTCACACTTGTGTTACTACAACAGATAACTGATTCCTAAATGGCAGACACCTGGTAAAATTAAGAGGAAATAAAAGTGATAAATTATCTGCGATTTTTGGGCTTACATTAGACTATCACTGCATTTGATACATTAATTTATCCAATAAAATACAAGTGAGCGGCACTGTTTGCGTAATACAACATGACAGAACAAACAGAATCTAACTGGCAAGATTAAACAATCAATTATTTTTAGGTTCGTTGTCCTCTAAATTTATATAATTGCAACGTTTATACCTCTCACAAGACGCTATTTGGCACACTCGTTAAAAATAGAGACGACGATTACAGTTCCTAATTAAATTCATGTTATTATGTAGGTATTAACTGATTCTTTATTGTTAGCTACAAAATTATACATACATATACTTACCAAAAAATCAACTAGTCTTTCTGTTCGTCTTCTGTTTTGTATTTTTATTTGCATTTAAATAGTACAGCTTTCTACTGATAGTGATACATTAAAAAGTTATTAATTTATGTGGTGTACACTAAAAAATTTAGGGGAAGTCTCTAAGATTATCCACAACGAATCGATATCTATTAGGCTGCTAGATTGTATCCTGTCTGGACAACCTTACTATCGTTTTAATCTAACCTAACCTGATTTGGTCCTGGTTGAATAAGATTAAATAAAATATGACCTCCAATATACAATACCATTTAAAACTTTTATGAAAAGTACGACAAGTATGTATACGAAACAAAGAACATCATTTTATGTGATTGAATATGACAATTCAATTTCACGAAAACAATATCGCGATTTGGATATCCCACAGTTCAATATTAGACGTTTAATACCACTTATAACTCAATTATGATAAAAAATTGAAGAATATATATCAGTCTTATAATTTCGATATCTTTCGAACAAAACTTCACTCGACTACAATTGAGATTTTTAAGAAATGTTTTACTCTGTTTCAACCCCTTACTCAGAATATTTTAAAATGGTGATGATATAGTTGAAGCTAAATTTATTTCCAAGGACTTTAGAATTTTTTGGGCTCTCTTCAGTTAAATTTTTAAACTTCTAATATTTTATTTCGTCAAAATTTAGCACTTAAAATTAACTATAAAATGAAATAGATTTACGGTTATTTGAATCCGGATAACGGATACATTTTTCCAGATATATCCGGATACAGTCCTTGGATATACAAAATACCGTATCAGGATACATTACGGATAGTTCATTCAAAATATCAACATGTCGTGCTTGGATACACAAAAACCGTATCCGGATGTGGATACTTTACGGATATGGATAACGGATACATTTCTTAAAAAGAAATATTCAGATACAGTCTTTGGAAATACAAATAATATCCAAATACTGCATCCGGATACTGAACACTCCAAACCTTTCTATGAATGTTATCTTTTTTTAAATGTTTTCATTTCTAATTTCCTCAAAATGTTTTTTGTTATACGATTAAACATTTTAGAGCAGACCTAATGCGGGTTTCCAGAATAACAGAACCACAACGTGTAGGTATGCATGTATTTTTAACTTTACCGGTCGCGACTTGTTGCAACAACATCACGCTCGTTATCTATCTCATCTTTATCACGACCATAATTTGAAAATCAGATATTCTCATCACGAAAAGCAACAAACGAAAAACGTTACTTACAGAGCCAAGCACTCGCAACTGCCTCCTGCGTTTTTGCGGTTTATTTATTCCACGACGGTGCAACAAAAGAAAACTATCTAAGACAGTCTGTTATAATGGATCGATCGCAATCGGAAAAACTTGATGACAATCTCTCGCAAGACAAAAGAACGCGGTATTTAATGAACACTGCAACTTTTAACTACATACATAATTATAAAATATACGCGAAATATATACGCCGTTACTGTTCTGTCAACAGAAGAGAAGTGCACGAGGTATGTCTTGTGCAGTTTACGTCACGTCCGTTCTCGCTCGCGAACAGTCGAATACTAAACCTTTCAGCTGTGTAGCATTGGCAGACCGAAAGCAATGCAGCCGGCGAAGAAAGAACAACGTGCTGGAGGTGCGACGCTTATGTCGAACATTGGTCTCCACTCAACTCCCGTGGTTAATAAAACTAACGTAAAAGGATACCGTGGTCCTTACCTGGCCGGCCGGACTGATCAGTCAGTTTTTAATGGTTAACTAACTGGGCAACAGACGATTCTGTGAAGTCTAAAAGCCACAGCAACGAGTTTCAGCACAATCGATTCTTACAGGTTAGACCCGTTTAAATTCGATAAAACTGGATATTTTATGTTCTCAAGAAAAAGCATACCTAAACATAAAAATCAGATCGTCAGTCCTTAAACCGGTTGGACACGCTCTTCAACTCTACTATCCTGATATGAGCTAATCTTTGCTAAAACTAATCCGACCACATCCTTAACTGCTTCGAATGTCTCCAACTAGCCCTTCATGCCTGAGAAGGATCCTACCAACCTATCTCGACTATTTCTTACGGACTTCCATAGTTTTTCCACTATTCCTGATATTTCTAACCTTCTTAATCCACGGAATCTCCGTCATTCACCTGTAGCACCACATTTCGAACCTAACCTAACCTTTTCCGTCGCGTGCACTGTCCACATTTCGTACCCTTACAGAACCGTGCTTTAACTATCCGCGGACATAAGAATGGCTTGAAATAAAAATAATAGATTCATTTTAGGGCCAAAACAATTTTGACCAACAATATACAGAAGAAACGTGCATTCTTTAGAAAGAACTACAAAATATATGTAAACCTAACTTAACATAATGTTATCCAAGCCTAGCGTAAGATAAATTAAGAAATTTTCTGTTTAATTCCTGTGAACAAAGGGAAGGACAAGTCCACGGCAACATCGTTAGTCTTTTCCTAATCTAGCCTTCGATGAAAGTTCGTTTAATAAGTTACGCAGAAAGACAACATGCCGTCGTCAGGCACATATGCATTATTGAAACAAAAAATTGTAGTTACTTTTCCAAATTTTCTATAAATTAATCTAACTATTTGCCCCTCAACAACTACCTTCCTTTGCCACACCTCTTTCACTGCCTTATACAAAAAACGAACCCTTATTCCTAATTCACCAATTCATAGCATTCTTTCCAAGTTCTACTATCCTCGCCGGCTATCTTCTTTCTTTTTTTCAATATTTTCACCCTCAATACTCATTTTCTGTCCTACATTTTACCAACAGTTTATTTTCCTCCGTTCTTCTAATACCTTGGTATTCAATCCCCTTGCCAATCCCTTCGTAAAATCTCTCTCGGTCCCATCACATACCTTGACTCTATATTTCTTAGATCCTCTCCTCTTATAATTTTCCTACATCCGTTCCTCATCAATTCCCCTATGTTGATCCCTTCCTTAACCCACCTTCTCCTACCCCTGATTCATTTTAAATCACTTCAAAGCCCTCTCTCTCTCATTCTGTCATTTCTATTTTCGTCCCTATTCCTAATACCTTCTACCACCATATTTTCTACCTGAGGAGCATCAGCCTCCCTAATATCCCTTATATTTTACTCTCATTTCCTATTTTACTCTCCTTTCCCTATATTTCTCTCTTCTTATTACATGTTTCGATGCTCTTCAATTAACACATTTTGTGTTAATAATAACAAAAATATTTTGGTTAAGATTCCTCGAGTCGCTCTTCCAGTGAATGTATAACTTCATAATTCCTTAAACCCGTAACGATAAAACCCTACATCCCCGTAATTAAAATACTGAAACATTATCGCCATGAAACTATATGTGATGTTGATTTCACAAAATCAAAGTTATGTCCTCGCAGCGTACATTAAGTAAAGCTGATGTTGATGGTCCTACAAATGTTTTACATGGTTATATAGGGTTATGTAGGGTTCAACATCTGTTTTAATTGAAGAACTATGAAGTTAAGTATACATTTAATGAGTAACTTGATTGAGTACGGATTTTAGGTTTAAAATCGTTTGTGATTATCATTATTAACATTTTTAGTGGATTTTAGAATGTTTTTTTGAGAATATGTCCAAACCCTGACGTGCTGGGCTTTAATTTCACCTCTGACTTGGATTCAGCGAACTCAAAAACATACAGTATATACAGTCAGATCCCTCAGGTACTAAAAAAATTTTGTGTGGCTATGTAATTAACTAGACAATACAAACTTTAAAAAGGTGCATACAAAATTATTGTTACTTAAAAGAAAAAAGTAACTAAAAACCCATCAATTAGTCGAATAATCGTTATTTTAATTGCAGAATTAAAGGTACCACTCTAGTACTGCTGTACATTTACGGTTTTTATATAGATTCGACTAATTAGACGAATTGGGAAATAACTATTAATAGCCATTACTAGGTATTAATTATTAATTAGTCATTAAAACTTTTCGTTTTCTAATGGCCCCTTTACGTAAACTCCCTCGATGTGAGATAAAATCTTTTCAAAAGCACTTGCGATTATTTCAACCTTTGCTGTCAATCAACTAGAAATATTTCGTACAAATATGTTCTTATCTGGTTATATAAGCGAATTAAAATGGTGGACCTGTCCGTTTAATTAATTATTTATAAGAGAAACTCGAGATGATACAATTCGATTATTACTATAAATGAATATGCAATAATTAAAGGCGTAGTTATGACCTGGCCCATTGAGAAAAAGTGTAAAATTTGTAGAACACCACACAAATGTTATTAGTTGGAGACGGAAGGGATTAAGCCGAAAATTGCAAATGGGAAAGAAGGCAATTTCCCACGCATGGGAGATAAACGTTGGTTGGAGGGAAAGAGGAGGAGGTTTGTGGATGAGAAGAATTAAAAATGATTCACAATTTCGGTTCCTTTTTAGCCGATTTTTACTAAACGAGTAAAATTCCTCTCTTTACGGTAGTTCAACCCAATATAAACTTGGATGATATATAGAACAGCGACAGGGTGTCGTAAGGTGACATGTATTTTAACGAAAATATTTTTGCGAAATCCAAAGAAATGACTGACAATTTCGGGTCCTTTTTAACCAGTTTTCAAATTTGGATGAACCAAATTTTAGAGTGGTTTAAGCCCATTAAATTTCTGTGATATAAAGATATCATAAAATGACACGTGTCTTGGCAAAAATGTGTTTTTGCGACATCGAAGGAAATAATTCATGATTTTTCAATATTTTTAACTACTTTTAAAATTTGGACTAGCAAAATTTTCTTTTTACAGTGGTTCAAGTCAATCTAAATTTGGATGATGTAAAACAGAGCAACAGGGTGGCGTAAGATGACATGTGTTTTGACGAATATGTTTTTGCAAAATCCAAGGAAATTATTGATAATTTCAGGTCCTTTTTAACCAATATTCAAATTTAGATGAACCAAATTTTGCCCTTTACAGTGGTTCAACCAAAGGTTAATTTAAGAAGGTTATACAAAAATTGGAAATTCTCCTTATTTAGGAATTTTGTGGTTTACCTCATATGCTTTGTTTTTTTTTTGTGAAAGTAGCAACAATACTTATGCATCAGACTCCGAATGTCCAAAATCCGTTACGGAATTTGTAGTAAATTGAGACACAAACTTATAAATCCACAACAAATAAGTTATAAAAGCTATTATGACATGATGGCCTTTCCGACGTAATTATTAAGTAATAAGTCGAATTATTTGTTATTACTAAAAACCTGGCTTTAATACTCTATTTCTTGTGTATCTCATACAACAGAATATGGTCAGAGTGAAACCTCTATAAAACAAACATTCAAACTATTAAAAATCATACAAATGTACAAATCAGTGAAATGAGAAACCCAAAATACCATTATTTGTTTTATTTATAATTAATAAGTTTAATAAATACCTAACACTGTAAGCATCAGTAATAACAAGATTTGTTAACACAAAGAAAACCGTTCCTTGGTTTTTTAAACACTTATCAAACAAGAATCTTTCCAATTAAAAATAAATTTTAATTTTTTTATTTGCTTTAGTGTTTTGCTTATTCTCCAAATTTTATGTTGCAGGTAAAATGTACCTTTCAAATTGCAAAATACGTGAATACTGAAAATTTTCATTTTCAGACCCTTTACAACTGGGAATTTAATAAGCCTTTATAACACCCATAATAATAAGCTTAAGAACCATAAAAATACTAATGTATGTTTTACGACCGAAATTATTTATACTTACAAACAGAAATAAACACGAATGCTAAAATGAATTTTAGAAGTTTCAGAGTATAAGGTTAGATAACCAACAATACACCTTCATTCGGTATAGTATACACAATTAATTAATTCAACATTAAGCGCTACCTATGTAAATAAACATTAACAAAACGTTTTTCAATTCTTACCTTCTAAAACGTAGACGATACTTCCGACATCGCCCTCTCTGATTATGATGCTCCCTGCCTTGTATGCTTCCGGGTACATGCAATCCACGATTTCACGTATTTGAGTCAACTCCAAATTTTTCATGAAATCATTATCCAGAATTGCTGCCTTTATCAACTCTCTTGATCTGAAAAAGAAAATTTTAATTAATATTAATAACTAAAAAAATATTACATTAATTTTAAGCAATATTATTATTATCATCATATTAAGTTATGTGAAAAATTACCGAAATAGTCAACCAAAGAAAAACAACTAAACTTTTCTTTCTTTCTTTC